ACCCTGTTCACCTTGGCGATGTTGTTATCGATTTTTTGTTTGGCTACTTCCACAGCCAGCACCTGCATCTCGAGCTCGCATCTCTTGGGCGCCTCTACACCCGCCCAGCCCCATCGCTTTCGCACGCATCGCTGTGATCGCCCAAGTCGAGCATCCTTTGTATTTCTTGTGGCTTTGAGCCGAATCTATTTTCCGAACCATTGCAAATACCTTGGATTTAGTAAGGAATATTTTTAAAATCACAATAAAATTTCATTATTTTATCAACGTCAATTGGTTCACCATGTAGCATCATTAAACTTCGTAAGAATATAATACAACGATTTATTTAAATTCACATCTACTTCTCGAAAGGCCTCGGTACATCGAAGCCCCCTTTGGGATACCATGCCGAACATGTAGCGATACCCGTCCTCACTTACCCACCTCACTGTGCAGATCGAATCAGTATCTCCTTCATGCGTTTGAACCCAGGCTGTGGAACCAAGATTACTGTGAGTTTCGTTGACCATGTGACGAGCACATTTTGATTAGCCGTTGTGCAAAAAAATGATGCAAACTTCATGAATGTCACTTTAAGGCTTGAATATTATCATGTCCAATCACAAGGCATGACCTTCCATGTAAGCTATCTAATTGGTAGATAATGTGGTTCAGAAATCGATGCACTACCTTATCGTACACAATTGACGCCTCCAAGAGCTCTCGTAGGAGCAGTGGTGGTGGTCGTGGTAGTGTAGTCAGATTCCGGGGTCGTCCCGTACTGCTGTACGTCACAGCTACTACATCCATTCCAATGGAATCTGTCGGGTATAATATATATACAACGTACCACGGACGAGACGACAACCAAAATCGACACTTGGTGCACCGGGGCCCCGCGCAAATTGGCCGTGAGTTGTTGGAGCATCGACGTGGATGCTGGGACGCTGGTCGTCACGTGGAGCGTCAAGTGAACGCCGCCGTCCGCCAGCGGGACGAAGTGTTTGGTCCTGCCGGACGCGGCCATGTCGTTGAGCTTGTCGGCCGGGAGCAGCACCTTCTTGTCAAGGATGAAGTACACCTCCACCATCGCCGACTCGCTCGTGGTGTCAATGGGCTGACCAAATCGGTGGCTTGGTAGTGTCTTGCCGTGCACAAGAACGAATCGAGTGCGTGTTGGTAAGCTTAGCACGATGGCGTACTAGTAGTACGTCATCCCGCAAATACACCGTCTTGTAAGCTTGAAGTTCAAACGCGATGCATTTCTGCTCGCAATAGTTACATAGCATCACTTTCTGGATTACGTATGTATTACTCCGGAGTACTACGTAGTACTATTATAGTAACCACAATAACCGCGTCACACCGCCGCACCCCGCTGGTGCGATGCAAGACGTGCGACGACGAGATCTGTGCCTCCACGACGTCCCT